TCTCAACTCAAAAACACTGGTGTAACCAGTACCTAGGTCAGGATACCAAACATTATCAGTACCCAGAAAAGCTCTCTCATGTGCCTTCCCAGCCCAAGAGGGATGACCATTTTAACTGATCTCACCATGTTTGTTTTCTAACTTTAAGGTATTCACACAAGAGGTACACATTTGAGTATGAATCTTTCCTTTTAGATTATATATGTGATTTTTTTCTTTTAAAGATTTTATTTATTTATTTGACAGAGAGAGAGATCACAAGTAGGCAGAGAGGCAGGCAGGGTGCGGGGGAGCAGGCTCCCTGCTGACCAGTGAGCCTGATGTGGGACTCCATCCCAGGACCCTGGGATCATGACCTGAGCTGAAGGCAGAGGCTTAACCATTGAGCCACCCAGGTGCCCCAATTATATATGTGAATTTCATTCATGTTGTCTGTAGAAATAATTTCCTCTTTCTTATTGTATATACTCTTTCACTTATGAATAAGCCATAATTTTATATCCATTCTACTGTTGATTAACACTGAAACAGGACTATTAAATAGTGTTGTCATGAAAATTCTTATATATAATTTTGTTTTTTGATTCACATCTCTATGCATTTTTCTAGGATATATGTCTAGGAATAAGAATTCTGTTTCATACAGAATGCAAAGATTCTGATTTGGTATTATCAAAAGACTTTTCCAAAGTGATTGCACTAATTTTTAGTCTTACAAATAGTATATGAGACTTTAAATTTCTCCACACCTCAGCAACACTTAGTATTGTTCATTTTAATTTTTGACAGTGGAAAGATAGTTTTAATATCTCATTGTTCTATGTTCTATTGTGTCTTATGACTAAACAGATTCAACATATTTTTATGTACTTATTATTAGAATGTCCTCTTTATTAAAGTACCTATCCAAATATTTTCTCATTTTTATTGAGTTTTGTAGAGTTGCCTGAAAATTTTCCTAAGTAATTAATTACATATTCTTAATATTTGTCCTTTGTCATACATATGCATTGCAAATATCTTCTTTGCTGAAACATCATCTCTTAATAGGTATTTTTGATGAACAGAAGACCTTTATTTCAATAAAGTTGAATTAATGAATAGGTTCCATTATGGTTAGTGCATTTTGTATTATTTTTAAGAAATATTTTCCTATGCTGAGAATATGAAGATATTCTGTTTTCTTCTAAAAGAATATTTTTACCATTTACATTTGATTCATCTAGGTTGACTTTTTTTTTTTTAAAGGATTTTGGGTTCAAGATCCTCCTTCCCCCACTTTTAAATATCCAAATGATTTAACAATACTTATTTAAACATTATACTTTTCATTCTGCACTGTAGTGGGCATATGTATGTGTGGCTGGTTTCTATAGTCTCCATTTGCTCATATGCCTGTTGTTTACTCTTGACCAATACTATATTCTCTTTACTACTATAGTTAACAGTGTATGTCTTCTGAGTTTGTTATGATTCTTTAAGACTGCCTTGTCAATTTTTCTCATATGTTACATAAATATTCAAATTAATTTGTCAGTTTCCACATATCTGAAGAGATTTTGATTGGGACTGTGGTTATTATTTGTGAAATTTGAGATAACTGGACATTTTTGCAATATTGTCTTCTAGTACATAGACATGGAGCATACTATTACTATTTGGATCTATTTTCATGTTGATATTGTGTGTAATTTACTAATCAGAAGTCTTGTGGTATATTTAAGTGTATTCCTATTTGATATTTTAGGATACTGTGTTAAATACTTGGTATTTTAGAATACTACTTTTAAAATACATTTAGTTTTCTTATATTTCATGCTGCCATGTAGAGTATAATTATTTTTTCTAACATTTTATTATAAAAAACATCAAATAAATGGCAGTTGGAAGAATTTTGTAGCGTACACATAAATGCTACCCTCAATATTTTGCCATACTTGCTATCCTCCATCACTTACATTATAACCATCTAGAATCTGTAGCTTAAAAAAAAATGGAAAATGCCAACAAATGAAAAGGAAACCTATACATACATACATCATGGTGAACCTGTGAAATAGTAAACAAAACAATGGTGTTAAAATCATTATGAAAAAAAGAGATATTATTTTGAATTACTAATTGACTTAGTCAATAAAAATTCAATTAGTAATTGAATTTAGTCAATAAAAACTCCTCATCAGAAATGATAGAAGCCAAAATATGTGACATGACGTTTTCAATGTGCTCAAGGAAAACAATACACCCAGTCATTTTCAGACCAAAAAAACCCCCAAAAAAACAAAAAAAAACCAAAAAACAAAAAACCCAAGAGACTTTGCCTCAAGTAAACTCTCAGCAGTGGAAATTACAAATATGTAATTCAAGAACACTATAAGGTGAATTCATAATGAGGGATGCATATGTAAATAAAAAGAAAGAAATTAATAAATGGGTACATCTAAGTAAGATTAACCAGTTTGGCTGAATAAAAAAATAAAAATAATAAGATCAGTGAATATTACCGATTCAGTTGTGTTCTCTTCAAATTCATATGTCAAAGTTCTAACCCCCATAGTCTCAGACTGTGACTCTGTTTAGAAACAGGGACTTTAAACTCAAGAGAAAGACAATTATCATATGATCTCCCTGATATGAGGAAGTTGAGAGGCAAAGTGAGGGGTTTGGTGGGGTACAGAAGGAAAAAATGACACAAGATGGGATCGGGAGGGAGACAAACCATAAGAGAATCTTAATCTCACAAAACAAACTGAGGGTTGCTGGGGGGGAGAGGGGTAGGGAGAAGGTAGTTGGGTTATGGACATTGGGGAAGGTATGTGCTATGGTGAGTGCTGTGAAGTGTGTAAACCTGGTGATTCACAGACCTGTACCCCTGGGGCTAATAATACATTATATGTTAATAAAAAATAAAAAAATTTTCCAATATGACTGGTGTCCAAACATTATAAGAAATTAGGACACAGGTAACAGTCAGAGAGATGATCTTACAAGGTACTCAGCAAGAAGCCCTCTCCAGGCTGAAAAAAGAGGACTCAAAGGAACCAAACCTGTCAAACCCTGATCTTTGACTTCCAGCTTCCAGAATTGTGAGAAAGTAAGTATCCATAGTTTAAACACCCAGTCTGTGCTATTTTATCAGAACCCTAGCAAACTAATATAGTGAGGTTTTAAAAGTACGAATTAAAAAATACAATAATAGCACAAAAGTGATATGGACTAAATGGAGTGTCCTAATTTCTTCATTATTCAAAAAGGAACTGAAGATATTAATTATGTAAAATTTTGGAGGGTCAGATATTCATGTTTACATATGTCAGGCAACTTCTAAAAGAAATCAAGTATTTATCTTCTAAGTGAATAGAAGGAAATGGTGTAATGATGAAAAAATAAAAATTAAAAAAAAACAGTGGGAAAAAAAGAGAAAGAACAATAGCAAGCACCAAATAATGCACTGGTGTTTGTCCAATTATATCAATAAACAATGGAGCCTCCATTTAAAAGACAAAGACTGTTATTTTTTTGTCTTTCAGATTTTAGCCATTCTGACAGGTATACGGTGATATCTCATTATAGTTTTGATTTACATTTCTCTGATGATTAGGGGTGTTAAACAAGAATGTGGAGAATTAGAAACCCTCATGTACTATTGGTGGGAATGCAAACTGGTGCAGCCACTGTGGGAACAGTATGGTTCCTCAAGAAATTAAACAGAAATATCATATGATACAACAATTCCACTACTGGGCATTTATTCAAAGACAGCAAAATCACTAATTTGAAAAGATATATGCACCCCTATGTTTACTGCAGCCTAATTTACAATAGTCAAGATACAAAAGCAGCCTAAGTGTCCATTAATAGATGAGTGGATAAAGAAAACGTGATGTATAAATACAATGGAGTATTGCTCAGCCATAAAAAAGATAAGATCTTGCCATTTGCAACAACATGAGTGAAACTAATGGGTATTTATGCTAAATGAAATTCAGTCAGAGAAAGACAAATACCATATGATTCTACTTATATGTGGAATAAAAGAAAAAAAAACAAATGAATAAGTAAACAAAAAGCAGAATTAGATCTATAAATATAGAGAACAAATGGATAGGGGAAGGAGGTTAGGAGATGGGCAAAATGGGTGAAGGGGAGTAAGAGATACAAGCTTTCAGTTATGGAATGAATAAGTCATAGGAAAAATAGATAAAGAATAGGGAAATAATGGTATAGTATTAGTATTGTATGGTGACAATTTGTAGCTACACTTGGGGTGAGCACGGCACACTGTAAAGAGAAGTTGAATCACTGTGTTGTACATATGAAACTAATGTAACATTGTCTATCAACTACACTGCAATTAAAAAATTATAAAAATTTTTTAAAAAGACAAAGATTATCAGTCTGGCTAAAATAATCCAGCAATATAAGGAAAATATTGAAAATACTAGGAAACAATAAAGTTTCACTAAAAATATGGCTTGTGTTGTTCAGTAAAAAAGTGGGTTAAAGTTAGTATTAATATAGAATATTTGGACCATACAATTAATGTTTGACATATAAAATACTACACAAGCTATGTGCATGTCAAGTGCATATAGAATATTTATAAAATTGTACCACATAATGAATCATAAAGAAAATTTCTAGCAATTTCAAGCATTTGAATCAGCTAGAGCGCATCCTCTAACCAAAATATAATTAAGTCATAAACCATGACATAAAAAGTGTTTTAGAAAAGCTTTGTGCCAAACTTTTTTTTTTTGAGTAAATGCATTTTATTTTTAGACAACCTACATGACTATTTTTTTTTCTTAAAAACAATGCCATCACTCTAGATAAATCAAGGTCAAAATAAATGAAGAGCTCAAGATGACATCTGTCCCATTTGTCTAAGTCCTGGCATCTGGATGAAAAGCAACAGCCAGTTCTGACAACAGGTGGTACCTTCAAAGTTAACAGCCAAATTAATGAACATTTTTCCATTTCTAAACCATCTTTAAAGAAAATCATATATGGGGTCACACCACCCTCACAGAGTCCAACAGAGCAACCATGCCATCTAGATTCATGTTTTCACCAATAAAGAACTGGTAGTTTTTGAAATTAACGAGGATGTGCTTGATTTGTTCTGTAATCCCTTCCACAAGAGATTTTACTCTATCTGGCCTCTTTTTTTCAAGTTTGACTTTGACTGATTCCATAGAATCTTTGTTGTACTTCTTGTAGGCTACTTTTGTGAAGCTGGTTTCCTGCAAGGGCTGGTTCACAATAATATCAACACCAGTGACTATTGTGGTTTTGGTACTTTGGTTTTGTCCCCTTGGACCTTCCGTGGAGACATTTTCATCAATGAATGAGTCATCAATGTTACCCTCTGTCCTACTGACCATCTTCCCCTCCACCTCCAGGCACAGCCCGTCTGGGATCTCCCAGATGTTTTAGATGTCGGAGAACATCTCACCATGGCTGATGAGGTCCTGGTAGATCATCATACCTGCTGCTGGAGGGAGATGATGGTGGTGCTAGTTTTGCAGGAGCCTGAGCTCCAGCTAGAGTAGCATTCAGCAGGGGGTGGGAAAAAGCTGTGACAAACGTTTTAAAAATATACTTTTAAGTAACTTGTGTGTCAAAGAATACATTTTAAAAAGATTAAGAAAATATTTTAACATAAAAGGTAATTCAATATAGTTCATATAAAACCATTTGAAAAAAATCTGAATGCTCAGCAATATGGAGTAGATTGTAATAGCTCAACCATTCCATTGACAACAAATAGGAAAATCTGGAATAATTTTCTGTATTTATTTATTTTTACAGGTGGGTGGGGGGAGGAGCAGAGGGAGAGGGACAAGCAAGCTCCATGCTGAGTGCAGAGGAGGCCAGCCAAGGGCTTCATCCCACCACCCTGAGATCATGACCTCAGCTGAAATCAAGAGTCCAAGGCTTAAGGGACTGAACCACCCAGGCACCCCAGGAAATCTGGAATAATTATAAAAAGCATATATGTAATGTCTACCCACAGCTGAAGGAGAAATAAGGACTACAAGGAATAAACAGAGGTGATAAACTTTGAGAGATGAGCTGATGTTCTGCAGCTGTCTTTGGAAGCATTCTGACTCTTCTGGTTGCCTATCCTGGCTGCAGGTTAGAAACTGTGAATCTAAGCTTGACCCAGGCATAGGGCCACTTACGGGAGCAGAGAAACCAGCCATGTTTCTGGTGGTCACACAAGGCAGGAGTGATATATTGAAAACTCCAGGGCCTTAAGCCTCTTGACTGATTACTATCTCAATGAGGATTGTCAGGGAAAATACAGGACACCCAATTAAATTTGAAACTTAGGTAAACAGAAAATACTTTTAAAATGTAAGTATGTCAAATTTTGAATGGGACATACTTGTAGTAAAACTTTAAATGGCTATTTATCTAAAATTCAAATTTATTGGGTGCCCTGTCTTTTTTTTTTTTAATATTTTGATTAATCTGGAAACTTTTAAGACATTTGCTGAATCCCTAAGAGCTGGGAAGACAGAAACAAAAAGAAAACACTAACTAATACACTAGGTGTAAGATAATTGTTCATCTTATTTTTGTAATGTCTGAAAATCTGAACTTGCTTAAAAAATAACTTTAAAGAAGTGCAAAAAGAAAGAATCATTAATCATTTCACAAGTCAGAAATTTATGGCACCACATCCATCTTAATAAACACACCCACCCCAGGTAATATCAAAATTAAGTACAACAAAGAAAGAAAATAGAGTAAAGAGTGCTGAAGTCTAGTCCAACTAAGGCTGTTGGACTGAAACAAATATTTAAGGTTTCATTCACATTTTTTTGTAGAATATGACTGAAATGGAAACAAAATAAATATTTTACAATTTACATACTACTATTTATTCAAGAAAAGTTTTTACTGTAATTCACTTATAAATAAAAAATGAAATATTTTTATTTGAATATAATTTTTAACATTGAAAAAAATGGAAGAGACATTTATATACCTGTATCAGAAAATAGCTGAATTCTTATTACCAGGAGTTATCTTCATAATAGTTCATTTTTTTTTTCACTCTTTAAACACCTTAAGTGTAGGAGGCCTCTTTTTTTTTTTTTCCCCCCTAATAGAAACAAGAGTACCATATTCAGGTACTCATAATAATATTTGTAAACCATACGGGACTCTTAATCTTAGGAAACAAACTGAGGGTTGCTGGGAAGGGAGGGGTGCGGGGGTGGTGGACATTAAGGAGAGCATGTATTGTAATGAGCACTGGGTATTATGTAAGACTGAAGAACCCACACAACTGTACCCCTGAAGTAAATGCTACATTATATGTTAATTAATTGAATTTAAATTAAAAAAATTATATTGGTATCCTATCTGGCATCTTTCTGTACACATACACACCCACACACAGCAAGAAAAATTATAATGGCACAGAAATTGCCAAGTAAGGATAAATAAGAAGGAATGACCTTTAAATTACACTTTAACTATAGGTGTAGTCACAGATTTACAGATACACTACTAAAATGGTCGGTGGCACTTCCAAAAAAGAACAACATATTTATATATTTAAGCTAACTTCAAACAAGGGAGGTCATTCTTTACTAGTTTCTTGGTATTTTATGTGGTTTTACAACTTGGATCAAAAATGGGCATGAAACAAACATCACATGTTAATTAGATTTTCAGGAAACATTTTATAATATTTGGCACCAGAAGTTGATGAGTAAGATGTAAAGATAAATAAGATGTAAAGTCAAGGAGTCAGGAAAATTGACAGATTAGATTGAAAGCTGACGGAGAGCCAAAGAACAAGAGGTAAAGAAAAGATCATATTTCTTAAAAGTCACCTTGTGGTTAGTTTGGCTAAGGGGCTGATATTTGTAACATATAATATATAATTGTAAGACCCAAAATGACATTGATATCAGTTAGACCTGATTTATGCAATCTAAGAAAAATTTCCTATAATATTCTTTAAGAATATCTTATAATAACAAATTCCATTTATTAGTTTCTTTTTTTTACAATAATTTTTGAGCTCCTCTACCAAACTAGGCCCTATTGTAAGCTTTGATCACAGCAATGAAAAAGTTGGGGAACATTCCTGCCTCCTTGGGGCCCCTTTCCATTGAAGACATATATATATATTAATTTTTTATATTTTTAATTTTTAAAGAACATCAAGAAGAAAATAAAGAGCTAAAGGAGAAAGCACTGGATGTGTGTCAGATGTAGAACATTACTTTAGATGGTGTACTCAGGGAAACTCTATGAAGAAGTAAGTTTGGGGTTGAGGCCTGAATGATGACAGGTGCTCAACCATGAAAAAGTTGAAGAAAGAATTTGAGGGGCAGAAAAATTAACTGGTCCTTAGCCACTGAAGTAGAAATGATCTTGATAGCAAACCACAACTGTCCTATATTTTTCAAAAGATTTTATTTATTTATTTATTTGGGAGAGAGGGAGGTGGGGGGGTGGGGCGGAGAAAGGGAATACCAAGCAGGCTCCATGCTGAGTGCAGAGCCTGTCTCAGGGCTCAATTGCATACCCTGAGATCATAACCTGAGCTAAAACAAGGAGTTGGACACAACCAAAGGAGCCACCCAGGTGCCCCCCTGTTCTACCTTTTCATGAGGATTTTTACCTAAGAATATTCATTCATGATAGTTATTACTACTTGATTTCACATAAATTTTGTGGACTTGTGACTCTAGAAATGCAATTATAACTCACAGTGACAGCTGCCTTGTCTGTCTTGATATTCATCAGACAGCATGTCTTGATTTGATGACTGGCTGCACTGAACAATCTTAGGAGAGATTTTCTGTACTAAAAGATTACTGAATATCAAAATTCATTTTTATTCTCCTTATAAAGACATCTGAAATTTGAGACCAAAAAGAAAATATATAGATTCACAAAAATGACAGAGATGGCAGTCTAATTTAAGATATAATTTTTATTTTCTCATTCATTTCATGTTTTGTTTCTCAAATACAGTTTTTCAAGGTACTTCTTACTTAAAAATAAGTAGAATACTCATATCTTATAGAAACGAATATTCAATGCTTATAATCAATTTCCTTTCATTTATAAATTTAATGAACAACTCATTTATAGAGATAATGGACAAATCTAGGTAACAGCTACTATATTTTTAAATAAAAGGACATCTAAGGGTTCAAATTTATGGCAATGATTTTTTTAAAGATCTCAACAGTCTGCCCATTATATGTATTCTCTAATTTCCTCTTCAGTCAACAAATTTCATTTATATGTCTCCAACTTACATGATTCTAAGTCAAATATTATGACTGAAATAACATAGGAAAATACAGTATAGTTGGCACAAAGAGATCTGGAAAACCCTTGCCTTTCATTATCTTATATAAAAAAGTAGAAAAAATTTTCTCTGAATATCCATCACTGCCACACAGTCTCACACACATGAAAACAGACAACACTGTGTGATGATTCTTCATTTTCTCAGTATAATCGAGGACACTGTCAATCTTGTCTCTTTCATCTCTTACCTTTCACATATGGTTAACTATTAATTATCAATACGTTTATTCCCTATATATTTTTATTCTGTCACTTTTCTTCTACCCCTACTTCAGTTGTCTTTATTTAGGAACTTACCATTTCCATCTGTTGGTCAACATGCTTCTCATGTTGTCTTACCTCCCTATTCCAAATCTGCTCTTTGGAACACTGTCAGAATAGTCCCTCCATATGAAAAATAATTGTGTTTCATTCTTGCTTAAATTCCTCCAGTAGTTTCACAAGCTCAAAGACTAAAATCCAGACCTTTTAATGTGACATACAAGACTATACAGAATCTGTAAGGAAGCACTGCCTGCATGAGTTATCTTTTTTCCTCAAATTAAGGCCTGTGATTGATCCCCTAAACATTCACTGGTAAATACTCAGAGTTCTCTAAGTTCAAGGCAAGTTATGAATTTTCTAGATGACAACTTAAAAGCATATGTTGAGCAGAAAATTCAGTATCATGATCTGTGTGCTAGAGGATTTAACGAATACATCAGTGATAGGGTCAGTGAAAGCCCTATGGGAACACAATTCTTGAATTGGTACTTCAGATTTTAGGGGTCAGAGAGGCATTTGGAGAAACTGTATTTAAGCTGTAATCAGATATTTAGGAACTTTTTAGGAAGAGTTGAGGAATGGTGATACAATGGAACAAGTTCTAGAAGACGAAAAGTGTATTTTCAAATAAATAAGAATTCAATATTTATGTATGTGCCCAGGTTGTTTTTGTATTTATACCTCCAGAAACTTTTTATCTTATAATAATTCATATTACTATTTGCATAATTATAGATTAAATGTTTGAAATTTAAAACATTGTTTAGAGAAAGGATATAGAGATTCAAGTTCAAGTCCAAGAATCCTCTTTGTAAATTAGGAAAACATTATTGAGCCTTCCTACACTGTTTATGTTATA